AAAATTGTACAAAAAAAAGTCATCCATTCTGGTAGACTATCTCTTAAATGCATAAAGAATAGCCATTCAGTTAATAAACGCCAAATAACGCGAGTCATTGACAGGTCAACATCAGTGGTTTGTAATGGAACGTCCATCTGACACCTACATCCTGAATAATTTTGGTATACGCTAATGCAGCAGCGATATATAGAGCTTTACTTCAAAATGAGAACGACATTGCCCTTTCTGTCGTTCAAAACACGCACACTTGCGCAATCCCATTTTCAAGTGCGAAGTTTGTTGTCCTCACTTTCGCTTCAGCCAGATATGCTGGTTTGTTATTGTTATCCTCACATTCGGACCATCAATACTCGAGCGCATAGAATGGACCGAGGAATGGACTATAACCAGATGCATGCAGGGTGGCCAGATGATTTTCTTCGTTTGCCTTGGAATTAATATTATCGTTTCAAATGAAAACCTCGTTGAAAACGTTCTGTATATACGTTAAACATAACGTCGGACATAGTGTGCTGTATTCGTACACGGATGCGGTATACAGCACACTATGGCCAACGTTATGTTTAACGTACAGAACAAAAGTAAAATCGGTTTTCAATTGAAACGATAATAATCAATTAAAACACTAATTAACTCTTGCACTGCAACGTCACCAGGGCATTTGTTTTACTTACAAATAAACATTGCCCACAGGACATGCCAAAATTTCTTTCAGTGATTTGAGGCTATGTCAGTCGTGCAAGAGTTAATGGTGGTAAGCTCTACCTTGTAATCGCAATGTGCTATTTTATATGATTGCGTCGAGGATTGCGATTTGGGCACATTTATGAGATTATGAATGCGGAAACACTAATAAAAGTGCGGTTTTACGTTAAATTGTTGTTGTGTCTTCATCGCACTTATTCCTTGGTGAATGAAGAATAAGTGCGCTGAAGGCTTCAAGACGATACAACGTCTAAGTGCACTTTTATTAGCGTTTCCACTCTTCTAAAGAGTTCAATTTTATTTGCAATTGATAATGTCACAAAACTATGCATAGGAGGCATCACTGCACTGCAAGCCACTTTTTATTGTTGTGTCATAGGATGTATTCTAATGTTTTATGCGTGCAACAAATTACATCGTGATGAAGTTTGATTCTAATGTAACGTTAGGTTCTGTTGTCATTGGATGTATTCTGATGTTTTATGCGTGCAACAAATTACATCGTGATGAAGTTTGATTCTAATGTAACGTTAGGTTCTGTTGTCATTGGATGTATTCTGATGTTTTATGCGTGCAACAAATTACATCGTTATGAAGTTTGATTCTAATGTAACGTTAGGTTCTGTTGTCATTGGATGTATTCTGATGTTTTATGCGTGCAACAAATTACATCGTTATGAAGTTTGATTCTAATGTAACGTTAGGTTCTGTTGTCATTGGATGTATTCTGATGTTTTATGCGTGCAACAAATTACATCGTGATGAAGTTTGATTCTAATGTAACGTTATGTTCTGTTTTCATTGGATGTATTCTGATGTCAAATTTTACATCGTCAAGACGTTTGATTCTGATGTAACGTTAGAGGCTAATGTATTTTTATGTACTTGGACGTCACACTGAAGTCTGAATACATTAAGGGTACAGCAATATACGTTAAAATTTAATGTATTGAAGATGTCTGCTGATGTTTTCTACATTACAATTTCTATTCGGGTCCGCTTTGGATAAACAGGATACGGGACCGAACTTGAATGTGGAACAGGTTTTGTCATAGAAGCCACTTGTGGATACTCAACTGTTTTGTGACGTCCTTGTTGCTTAACTTTTGTCAAGCAGAAATAACAATCCGTTGCATGACAAAACGGTCGACGCCATATGGTGGGCATGTCAAAGGACAAATAGCGACTGACAGATATCAAATAAGTGAGTTAGTAAGTAAGACATTAACACTTATCAAAAATAGATGAAGTAAGATAATGTCGATCAGGAAAGAACAAAGCACTATCATCAAAGATGAATACTAAGATGAAACTGTCGGAAGAAAAACTTTCTGTTTTAGTGTCCTCTTTCACGGTCCCTTTCATCCAATGAATACCCCCGTATTCAAGGTAATTTTGTGGTTTTGCTGCCCCCTCGACAGAGATGAAATTTTGCGCTCATTTTTATCAAAACAATCACACCAAAATCAGAGATGTCCCATTTTTTAATTACTGGATTATTTTTTGTTCGCTGTGCTGCCATTTTTCCACCAATGAGAGTGCAGCACATGTTTGAAACGATCGGTGATGATCCTCTGGAGAAGTTAATGCTTATATCGTCATGATATAAACGATTACAAATATTTTAGTTTTCGGTTCGTTAATCGATTAATCGATAATTCGAATGAAAATCGGCCATCACTAGATGAATGTGAAACGTCATTTCAAATATATGGACCGTACATAAATAATGATACAATTTGAAAGGGACCGGGACTCATCACAAATTACTTCCGCACGGTAACTGAAATTAACACGAGTGTTCACCGGTTGCTATCATGCTGTACATAAATTGTTTATATGAAAGTTATTCAAAACATCAATTTACCTTGCGCCTGACATCCACCTAGCCAAGCACGTTTTGCACGAACTACATAATACTTTTGGAATCCACGGTTCGTCAAAGTCTCCAGGATCAATTTTAAAATAAAGCCTGTATGCAGTTTGCAACGAAGCAGTGAAATTGACCGATTTTGTAAATATATAGTTGCCACACGCGTAACAAAACTTTTGAGGATCATTTTTACACTTGAATTCACGTTTTGTCGTATACATCGTTAAGCAATGTTAAAGAAAGAAAGCTGTCAAATTGAGTTGGTTGCGTTAGGTTCTCGCCGAGCGGTCTCACAAACTGTAGCGTAAATTATATTGTTGAAAATATCCCATTTAATTTTGCGTGACAGCTGGTAGTGTTAGTGAAATGCACCGTATGCGTACACGTCCGCAGAAAGGCTTACTGGAAGTGGTGCATGAACCTAGGAGCGGGACAACGGCCAATCTTGGAACATTCAATTTCCATGATTTTACAAAAAAATTCATAACTTCGACAATTTCCAACCGATTTCATCCATTAAAGGCTCATTTTCTCCAGTTTTTAATGGACTTTAAGAATAAATTATGGAATGATTTTTTGAATCTTTTTATCCCATTAAAAATGTTGATTAAAACAAGATTTTTATGGAAAATTCGCAGGAAAAAAAAAATGCTGTAAATTTTTAAATGACTTCAAAATTAAATTTTTAATTAAGACATAATATTCTAATGAACGATAGCAAATTTATTTAGCTTCACTTTCAAAAAAAAAAGATTTAAAATTGGTGCACTAGTTCCAAAGATATTGACATTTTAGTAATCGTACTTTTGTCCAAAATTCAAAAAATCAAAATTTTTGTATATCTCAAAAATGGCTCTACTTTAATTTTTTTCTGACCACGGCATTGAATTCAGCGTAGGATTTTGCATTAGAAACGTTGGTCAACCACTAAAGTTCACACTTTTTATGTTGTTTTGTAAACTAGTGTAATTATTGTGTTGTTCCGGGATGCAAAAACCGAAGTGGACCCGGATCTTCGACGCTGTTCTTTACAGTTCCAGCAAAACATAATAAAGTGTCCAATAAGTGGTGCAGTTTCATCGTCATAAGCGGAGAACAGAAGGAGAAACTTTGTAACAATCACTTCCGGGATAGTGATTTTATCACATGTAAGTTGTACCAGAGATTAACCGAAATTGGATGTTGTGTTTTTTATTGGCGTCTTGAAGTAAAACTTTTGCGAGCTTTCGCCGCCTTTTTTTTTGAGAAAATCGCTCCATAAAGCAAAACTAATCTTTTCCCGGAGAAACTGTTGCTTGAATCGCGTAGGAATACGTTTTTGGTAACTAATTGTTCATCTTCCGGTGAGATTCTGTGATGTTTTCACGGTAAATATTGCGCGTTTCACACCAAATTGGACTAATAAGCGCGTTTTCACTTATTAAATAGTGTGATAAAACTGCAAGATTACGTCTAATCGTCTTGGTGTCTTCGGTGCATTTATTCCTTATGATGCAAGCAATAAGTGCTCCCAAGACAGCAAAACGATTTGACGGAAACATGCACTTTTATCACACTTTTTGCATTTTTGGGACAGTCCAGTTTCAGATGCAATCAGCAATAATTCACAACAATTTTGCACTCACAGGAAAAGCATCTGATCATTCCCAAGCTGTCAAAGAGTCCTTGGTTCAAACTCGTTAAACGCTCACTTGTTCCGTATGGGACTGGGGGACAGCAATCTCTGTGAATGTGGACAAGGTCACATTATTTGGTCTTGTGCTGAGCTAAAACTGGGGTTTTTTGAAACTCATATATGTTTTCTTGTAAAACCTTAACCTTAGATTGTAAGTTTGATTACTTTGTGTTTAGTTTGTATTTTCTCTGTGTATGTGTGGTCGGCTGATTGTTTTTGTAATAATTGTATAATTACAGTGCTGATATAAAGTTGAATAGGAGTAAGTTCATGTTATAGGAATAGTGAAATATTGTATCGTAAATCATATTTCAAGAACAACATGTGAAAAGGGCATACAAGCTTTTTGTAAACAAACCTTCCTATGCTCTTTTCTCGCCACCCATATGACACCATCGCAAACCCTTAACATCCCCGGATAGGGGAAGCTTTCCTCTTTTCGATAATGTTATTGGTTTTGGCGACCCTCGGTTGGCAAGAAAAGGGCCTACAAAGGTTTGTTTACAAAAAGCTTATATGCCCTTTTCACATGTGGTTCTTGATTTGAAATCTCCTTCTCCCTATCCCTATTCATTTAATTGTAAATCTCCACTAACCTCGAGACGACCGCGAGTATTCGATTCAATTTATTTAACTCTAGATTGAAGACATTAATTATGTGTAACGCAAATTATATCTTGATTCTGTAAAGTTTACCAGTACAAATTAATTACATATTAACTATCAAAAAAAAGTATAATGTTTACGTTTATTTATTTTATCGTTTACACTTATTTTGTTCATATTGAATATTATAAGCCTTATAAAATTCTGAGGTCTCCTACGTTAAGTAGATGGTAAGTTGAACATCGTCAAATTGTAATAAAATAGCACTTGTCAATGCCAACCTGGATTCGATAGCAAACGATCGAATTGATCTGTTGTCTTGGCACTTGTTTCTCGATGGTACATTAATTTAACGTGAATGTCACAAGCTTAACTTAACGATAACTAACATTAAACAAATACATTCATCAAAAATATGAATTATTTCTTTGAGGTTTGAGAAATTGCATTCATCAGGCTTTAAGCACTTCCAATCAAGGCACATAGCGCTTTCTTGTAATCGCCAGAAGTTTCGCTCTGAAAAGATAAATATGTAAACATACGGTTAGTATCGATCAGCTAATTGATCCCTGAGAAATTTTTAGTACCTTAACTGCACTCATAAGCGTTTTATTATACATTTGTTCGTACTCGTCCTTGATGTTCTGCAAGTCAATTTCCGATCGCGACACGATAATCCGAATCAGCGTGGTATCGTCCGTACCCAATCCGTCCATGGCTTCGAACAATCGCTTCGCGAAGAAATGTGGTGCCATCTGGACGCATTCGACTATCGCACTGAGAGCATTATACAGGTCACCGCTCAACTCGGCCTTTAAGGCCTGCTCGATGGTGCGTCCGGTCATCTTCTTGTACTCTTCGAACACATATTCCAGCTGGTCGAAACTCGAGTGGGCCATAATCTTGGTGAAAACGGACTCATCAGTGCCCCATTTTCCCTCACCGGCTTCGTACAGCTGTTTGGCTTGCTGTACGGCAAGATCTGGATCTACGGTTCCTGGAGGGTTGCGGGTACCGGTAATAATTAGTGTGAGCAGCCGACGAAAATCGCCGGATGTTTCCGTACAAACATGCTCCGCCAGTGGACGATTGAACATATCCTCATATACTCCTGCAATGTGATGCATTTGTTCGTTGTTTTGCGAGCAGAGAATCTCGATAAGGGCACGCTCGTTGGTACCGATGCCATCCATGGCTTTGAACAGCTGCTTGCAGAGATAGTTCACCGGCGGTAACATTAGACCGAGGATTACATCCTCGAACTTACCGCCCAGTTCCGATTTCAGATCCTTGATCAGATCTCGACCCAGTTCGTTTTTGAACGTTTCGGCGATGACCTGACGTTGCCAGTTGCATCGCGAGCAGAGGATGTCGATAATGGCTTGCTCGTCCGTTCCGAAGCCCTTCATGGCCTTCCGAAGTGCGGCCGCATCTGCCGATGGGTTGAAATTTTCGGCTGGGGAAACGGTGGGTTTCGCCTGGAGGAATTTGGAGAGAAATTGTTAATTAGTTGTAAGGTTGTCAGTATTAACTTATGAGTTTCTGATACAAATAACAGGATTGACTTTTTTGAATTGTTTTTTTTTTTATAATCAAAAAACATATTCAGAGCTGAATGCTCATTAGTCATCTCATCTTCAAGCAGTTTAGTCAACACAGTTCAATTAACGTTCGTGCTTTGCATTGCCCTTGTTAGTAAAAATGTACATGATAAGGTGAAAATTTCTGTCGAAACAGCAGCATGGTTTTTGAGGGATCTTTTAACAATGTCACTGGCAATCATGTTTCTTCGAGTGGCTTCAACGAGGGCTTCAAATGACTTTCATACAGTGCCGTAATGCTGTTAAGAAAATTTGAACGTTCGACCGGAACTGAATAAAAATGAATTTCGCGGCAACATTTTGCAAAAATAAAGCGAAGACGAGACATGACAGTCGCTCCATGACAGTATAACTTTTGTCATATTTTACTGTTTTGCTTGCGGCGCAATCATTTTTATTATCATAAAACTAAATAAACTTTCCGATTCGAACCTTTTTTATCACTAATACATTTTGTATTTCATTGCATCAACAATAAATAAATGAATAACAGATATCAAATATTTCGTGAAAATAATTAAACACTTTTATCATCATTGAGAACAATACTCCTTTCTGGTGAATTGAGCGAACAGTAAAGTTTATTTACTTTGCTAGTTTGGTTTAGCGTTTGACGGTTCGTTTGGTTCTTCTTGCTTCAGTTAGCCCATACATTATCTGTCAAAAAACCCGGAAACTTATGCATTGTGCGCCAGCCTTTATGAAGAACGCTTTACCCACTGAGTTCTGCCCACATGGCTTTCTGCCAAATAACAGATACCTACCGCTCATTTTTCAATGATTTGGTGCGATTGTTCTTGGGATAAGGGAAGAACATGAATTCGTCTAGCTACTTATCCTACGCTTAAATTAAATAATTTATAGTAACATTTTTTTAACTTAATTTTTGAGATTTGCTGTTACACATTTTTAAGAGTTTTAGATTTGGATGCGTACTTCCTTGCAATATCCGTTGAATGGAAAATTTCTCCTATCAGTAAAGAGCTGTATGGACATGAGTGGTGCGAAGTCGATCACTTTCAATTTTGTGTTTATTTCAATGAATAATCGTACTTTTCACAGGGTGTTCTATTCACCAGACTTTAAATATACAGGGGTTGGGAGAAATATAGGGTACTAGCAAAATTTTGTCCAACTTTGGACTGTTGAAACTACGTTGAATATTGTTCGATTTTTAATCTTCAAGAAACATTTTACTGTAAAACTAATCAAGTTTTATGGCGAGGCAATGGAAGTGACCATGGCCACCGGATACCGGAGATATTCTGGGTTTCCTGAGGGCATGTCTAAATTGCTAAATTTGTGATGAGTTTTTCTCAGAGTGTCCGTTACTAATCTGTGTTTTTTGTTCATACGCCAAAAATAGAACTATTTCCAAATCAAATGACGTACCAAGAGCTAAAATCGACTCAGAATCAACCGAGACATGGCCATTTCCCTGGAATCGGTCCTGAGGGAGGGTTCTGAGTGCGGTCAGTTCTTTCATTCACTCAAAACATGCCATGTGACACCTCTTTCTTCATGGTTTTCAACCAATAGGCTTTATATAGACTTTAAATGGAGCATTGACCACATTGGCCACTTCCGGAACCACCTAAGCACCCCCGGGGAACCTGAAGTAGGGTACAATTTCATTTTTATGCCAAAATATGCCATGCGACACCTCTTTCTTCATGTTTTTTTTACCAATAGGCTTTCTATACACTTTAATGGATCATTGACTACATTGGCCCCTTTCGGAACCATCGGAGTGCCCTCGGGGGAACCTGAAGTAGGGAACAAATTCATTTTTTTCAATAATCATGCCGTGTGACACCTCTTTCTTCATTGTTTTTCATCAGTAGGATTCCTAAATACTTTAAATGGATTATTGACCACATTGGTCACTTCCGTAACCACCGAAGTACCCCCGGGGAACCTGCAGTAGGGTACAATTTCATTTTTACACCAAAACATGCCATGCGACACCTCTTTTTTCATGGTTTTGCATCAGTAGGCTTTCTATAGCATTGCAGCACTGGAAAACAGGTTATCAGCTGATTTTCGAAATACTAATACAGATGCAAGTCAACATCAAGGCTATGCTATGATTATCTTGGTCGCAATGTTCATTGTTTACATTTTTCATAACGAATCGCAAAGAATGAATATGCATCTTTGTTTTTTTCTCTTTTTCAATCTGATCTCACTACATACTCGCAGCGTGTGAGTATAGTCACATGAACACAGACAAAAGCAAAATTTGAATATTATGTAAGGATGAACTAAAATGCACCCCTGGAGTAAAATGCGTTGTTTTTCGATGCTTTCCCATTTGAGTGAGGAGCGTGTTCCCACCATCGACGTCTGTAAAAAAGTTGGAAAAACTTTTTATTGACGATTGGTATTAAATACCTATTGAAAAAATTCATAAACCGTACGATTCAATTCCCAGACGAATCCAAGGCTAATCCTTGCTTCCGAAAAAAAATTCTCAATGTTATTATTGAATTTTCATCGGTGTATACGAAACATTTCATATCGTCACATCTTACATGTTGACGAAAAGTAATGAAAAAAGAGCTGTCATACGGCATGTATTGGTGTAAAAATATAATTGACCTCTGCTATAGGTTCTCCGGGGGTATCTTGATGGTTTCGAAACTGGCCATTATGGTCAATAATCCACTTCTACAGAAACCTTTTTGATGAAAAATCATGAAGAAAGAGCTGTTGCATGGCACATTTTGGTTCAAACATATAATTTTCCCCTGCTAAAGGGATCCCTCCCCCAGAGACATCCCGGATGTGCGGAGAGCAGCCATTCTATTCAATGATCCAATTAAAGTCTTTAAAAAGTCTTTTGATGAAAAACCGTGAAGATAGAGCTGCCATACGGAATGCTTTGGTGTAAAAATGCAATTGTCCGTGGGGCCTCTTGGTGGTTCAGTGAGCGGGAAATGTGATCAATGATCAATTAAAGTTTATAGAAAGCCTACTGATGAAAAACCATGAGAAAGAGCTATCGTATGTCACAGTTTAGCGTAAACATGCAATTGTCACCTACTGCAGGTTTCCCGGAGGGTATTTCGGTGGTTCCGAGGCGGCCAATGTAATTAATGATCCAATTCAACTTTATAGAAAGCCTACTGATGCAAAACCATGAAGAAAGAGCGGGCGCACGGCATGTTTAGGTGTAAAAATACAATTTTTCCCTACTACAGGTTCCCCCGGGGGTACTCCAGTGGTTTCGGAAGTGGTCAATGTAGTCAATGATCCATTTAAAGTCCATAGAAAGCCTACGGATAAAAAATCACGAAGAAAGAGGTGTTTTACGGCATGTTTTGGTGTAATAATGCAATTGTCCTCTACTACAGGTTCCCCCGGGGGTAGTTCGGTGGTTCCGGAAGTGGCCAATGTGGTCAATGACCCATTCAAAGTCTATAGAAAGCCTACTGATGAAAAGCCATGAAAAAAGAGGTGTCGCATGGCATGTTTTGGTGTAAAAATGAAATTGTACCCTACTTCAGGTTCCCCGGGGGTACTTCGGTGGTTCCGTAAGTGGCTAATGTGGTCAATAATCCATTTAAAGTCTTAAGAAATCCTACTGATGAAAAACCATGAAGAAAGAGGTGTCACACGGCATGATTTTTGTAAAAATGAATTTGTCCCCTACTACAGGTTCCCCCGAGGGCACTCCGGTGATTCCGGAAGTGGCCAATGTAGTCAATGATCCATTCAAAGTCTATAGAAAGCCTATTGGTAAAAAACAATGAAGAAAGAGGTGTCACACGGCATGTTTTGAGTGAATGAAAGAACTGACCGCACTCAGAACCCTCCCTCAGGACCGATTCCAGAGAAATGGCCATATCTCGGTTGATTCTGAGTCGATTTTAGCTCTTGGTACGTCATTTGATTTGGAAATGGTTCTATTTTTGGCGTATGAACAAAAAACACAGATTAGTAACGGACACTCTGAGAAAAACTCATCACAAATTTAGCAATTTAGACATGCTCTCAGGAAACCCGGAATATCTCCGGTGTCCGGTAACCATGGTCACTTCTATTGCCTCACCATAAAATTTGATTAGTTTTCTAGTAGAATGTTTCTTGAAGATTAAAAATCGAACAATATTTAACGAAGTTTCAACAGTCCAAAGTTGGACAAAATTTTGCTAGTACCCTATATTTCTCACAACCCCCGTAGTACCGTATGCGTGATAATGTTTGTACCATCGTACAAATAAGGTTACCGTTTCACCTGTACATACCCAACAAACATTGCATGCATAATAAGGGCTTATTCAGACAAAAATATGCTACTTAAGCTAAAAACTTGCTTATTCAGCCAATATTCAGCTCAAATTGTTTGTTGGGTATCCTACAATGCCTTGGTTTTCTTTGCATGCACGTAACCTATAGCTCATACCGTAGTAGGCTGTGTATAAAAGAAAATGATTTACTTAGTTTGACAGTTGCACCATGACGAAGTGGCAGCGTATTCGTGATTTGTCCCACGCACAAATGTCGCAAAAAGACATTTCAATCGCCGTGGGAGTGTCCCGGTGGACCGTCAATAAGCTTTTAGACCGAGAAAAGAAAGGACAACTATCCGGGAAGGTGGCCAAACGTCGTCCGAGGTCAGCTCGGGTTCCGAGGGTTATCACTGCTATCAAAAGGAAGATTCGGGTGAATCCAGTGCGTTCAGTAAGGAAAATGGCAAAGGAACACGGGATCAGTGAAGTCATGGAACGGGAGATTGTAAAGGATGATTTCGGGGCGAAGTCGAGGGCACGAAAAAAAAAAACTCACATGATTACCAACCGCATCCGGGAGCTTCGAGTCGAACGATGCAAGAAAATCTTGAACTTCCTTAAGCGAAAAAATCCGGTAATCCT